TATGCTGAGTACAACTGCTTTAACAGATTACTGAACTTTCATGTATATTAATATCTTCCCATAGAACAAGGATGTTCAATTTGGCAGAACTGGAACACAGGAAGAACCCCAAAGGACTTTATTTATCTTTTCCCTGGGCTCACAGCAATCATTACACACAAGTATGTTTATTCATCAGAATAATAAATGAGTGGTTCTGCCGCTCTGTTTTAGATTCTCATGCGAGATTCTCAGCATCTTTAAAGAAGGGCTTTTCAAAGACTCTAAAACCTCAAACTCGCTTTATCTGTGCTCTACAAATACATATGAATTTTGGAAGACAGAATTTTCATTGATGAAAATCAGTGAGAGAAACGAGAAAAACGAAACAAAACAAAAACAGATATTTCAAGCAAGATAAAAAGTTGGCTATTGAGCCCCTTCCTTAGAAAGAAAAATATGGATCTATGACCATGCTACACTGAACAAGCCCGATCCGGTCTGATCTCCGAAGCTAAGCAGCCTCGGGCCTGGTTAGTACCTGGATGGGAGACCACCTAGGAAGACCAGGTGCTGTAGGTGTTAAAAAATAAAAATAAAAATAAGGGATTGTAAACTGACAAGGTTCCTGCAATCTGTGAGGTCACCCCTTAGTTGCCTTGCCTAAAAAAATAGAAAAAAAGAAAAATATAGGAATATTCTTGGAATTCCATCACCATCTAAGAATCTTCTTACATTTGTTGATAAAACCAAGTTTAATTGTTAGATAATAGAGAATCTGAGCTTTCTCTCCACCTGGGGAAGATTCCCTAGAATAAATGGAGCTCAGGCTGCAGTCAGCTACCAACTAAATGAAAGAGTCACCTCTTAATAGCTGAGGTGGTTGATGCTGAACAGCCCCAGAGGACAGAGATAATTTGAGAAGGAAAATTGGTTTATTTCAAGAAAGACATGGAATCACCCCCTGGGCTGACCCAAGTTGTTTCAGATGATGAGTGGCTATAAAAATGACAAAACTTTATTGGCCTGAAAGTAATACAGAGAAAATAAATAAGCTTTGTTTGCTTCTTTGGGGGGGGGAGGGGCGGGGAAATCTGTGCAGTAGATTTCCTCCCTAAGACTGGGGTATGTAGCCTGCTGTCAGTTTCCTGATATATTACCTACTGAGAAGCAAAGACTACAGAGGCATCTTAAGCTGTGCCTCAAAATAATCCTAAATGGAGGGGCCCAAGAAATTGAGCCAAGAAAGGAAATATCTTTTTCTTATACTTTTAGTGTCAGTTTCTTCTTAGTTCACGTTATTTTCCTCATATTCCCCAATAATACTTTGCTTTTATTACTCTCCCTGCCTATCTGACCATCCTGGACAGGGGCCATTTTATTCAAGAAAAATCACTTGATTGGAACTAAGAACATCACATCTCAACAGTTTAATTTCTTTTTAATTAAGAATTATGAAACTCCATAGAATCCTTCAAAGGTTAGTACCAAGCAGGTTTTGTTTATGATTAGGCTATAGTAATACATGAAATTTGAAGGTAAAATAAAGATGATATCCTTCATCTGTATGAGCATTTAAACACTAAAAGAAGATACTTTAATTTCATGCTACCCTTGAATTTTTTTTCTTCAGGGTTGTTCAATGTATTCTAAATAAGCATGGGAAAAATTTAAGTGCATTTTTCTATTTGAATATCAATGACTCAAACTTTTTAGGGTGGGTTTGTGTTCAAGTCATTGTATCTAAGAATCCATTCTGTATACTAACAAAATACAGAAACTATTTTCCACATTGAAAGTTCAGGGAAGGGTAGAAATATTGAAAAATATGTTCTTTGTTATAGGAGTGTAAGAAGTTTATTATGAAAATAAAAATTCTTAATTCAGTACTAATAATTGAAGTCATAAAATATCTCAAGTATTTTAATCTTATCAGTGACACCACAGATTTTTGGGATCATTAACCTAATGAGTAAAATAAATGCTTTGAATCATAGAAAAAGTTAAAAAAGCCAATAGATTTGGCATAGTACTATTGCTAATTTAGCAAAGCCATAGATATGCCTTTTCTCCTTTAACTTTGCAAAAATCCCAGGAAATGAAAATGGCTATGTTTACAATTTGAACTCAAATGTATCAGAACGAGAATGGGCCAGATGTCTTTTCTTGAAATGATGTATTTCGAGTTTGATACGAAGAATAATAGCTAAGGTTATATAACTCAGAAGAATCAAAAGATACTGCAGTAACACAAAATTGACTTTTAATGTTTACCAGTTCATTGTATCTTACAGAAAATGAAAACAATTTTTTTTTTTTTTTGTAATACAGATTGGTTCTTTTCCTGATTTGCACTCAGTAGGTAGTAAATGCCTTTAAACACTGATTTTCTTGTAATCAGGAGCCTTAATGACTTCTTGTCTGTTTTATTTCTTTTGTTGTACATCATTGCTGCTCTGGCAGTCGTGAGCTATGATACAGTTAACTTTTCAACAAAACTGTCAGTTATCCATTGATCATTCTTGATGCATTCCATGCTGAAAACTGATAGTTATTCCTTTTTAATTCTCTCGTCCTAGTGGTCGGCTACGTCATGAGACCACCATAGTCTTTGGAGCACTGAAATCAAGAAACCCAGTATGGCTGCCAGCAACCAAATTGGAATCTTCTTTGAGTATAATTCTAATTGCCAAAATAATAAGCAACTATATTATTGCATAAAATAAAACTTTAACAGGTACCGGCCCCCTTTCTATGAGAGAAGGTTTAAATTTACAAATACCATATTTGACTAAAAATTACTGATAAAATATGGCAGCAGTCATTAAAAGATGGCTTCCAGTGTTAATGTGATTAACTTGTTTCCATTCTTATTGTCTTTTTATGTGAATCATTTCTTCTTCTTATTTAGGTTTTCAAACGTAGGTGTTTCAGTGAAACTTGCAGATAAAATTTGTTCCTTATATGAGGCACAAGTATTAATTATGGACAAAATGATCAAAACAAGATTTCCTAACCCTGACTCCCATTTTATCCCATTTTAGCTCTGATACTATTGGAATCCATGTCTGAGTGATTTCTGAATAAGTATTGTTTGAACTTTCTATTAGGAATTGTATTAGGATAACCTTTTATTTTCTGACATTCTTAGTGAGATATTTTGGGGAATAAAGTAGGAAATAAGACATTTGGTGGGAAAATGGCAAAATAATAACATTAAAACAAAACAAAACAAAACAAAACAAAACACTACAACTTATTCAAGTAGAAGACCAAAGGGGAAAGCAGATTCTCATCCTTTAGGGGAAGTTCAAAGATAAAAATTCTGCCTGGCAGTATTCATTATTTAACCTTGTTTTCTTTCTTTCTTTCTTTCTTTTTTTTTTTTTTACAAGCATGGAAATATGGTGTGCAATCAGCATAGAATTTAATCACCTAACAGTCAATCCAGAGTTTTTGATCAGCACCAGTTCCTATACTAGTAAGTATTCAAAAGTTAAGAAATGCTACTATAGTTAACATTATAAAGGTAGAATTCTGCAGCATTAACTAAAAATTATATATCTGCTTCAAAAGAAATTTGTTCCCACTTTCATTTCCAATAAAATTCTTGTAACGTGGGTAATAATTGTTCAAGTATGGGCTTCCTCCAGTGAGCAAACCCCCATTTTTGAGATGTGTTAGAGTCACTCTTTTGGAGATAGTCTTCTCTTTAAAAAGTAATATATTCATCTTATTCTAGATCATTCAGGTATTTGTAATTTAAAAGTTTGAGTTCTATTTGTATCAGCAGTGTTTGAGTTAAACCTCACAATCTCTTTGGATTTATATTTTTGTACAATTTGTATATCCAACCTAATATAAAAATGAGCATGCATACATTGTCATCTTTTAATATTAAAGCATCTGAAAATTTCCAGATATACTTTTGATAAGTGATCTACTTTTATTTATGATATTTTGTCTAGATAATGTATGAATATACTTATGGTTTCATGGACTTCCAATTGTTCTATACCTTTCACACATGTAACTCTACATTTGGAAAGTAAATTTATTAGAATTATTACAGAGCTTTAAATGCAACCACAATCAATTCAGGAAACAAATTTATTTACTCATGTTCATGGGAGGAAAATCTACACAAAAACATTCATGAAAGTATACCAGCTGCATCATACTTGGATTATTATACTAAATCCCATTTATTAGAACTTATTGTGAAACAATGGGAAACCATGAAGCGTAATTTGAATACAAATATTGGTCCCTGTAGGGTCTCAACAATCATAAAAATATAGGAAAACAGAGCTTTATTTAAGATTGGAGTTGCTAATGTGGAAAGTTGTTTTTCTGAACCTGGCACTACCCTTTAACTTATAACCCTGAAGATTTTAATGTAAACACTTTGATGACAGCTTCAGTGTTTCACTTATGCCTAATGACCAGTAAAGAAAGTGACATCACTGACCACATTTTCTATGTGGAGGAAGATTAAGAACTACTTTTTTCCCCAAACACAGGCACCAATTGGGCTTTCTAATGTATATACAAATAGGAGAAATAAGAATTTTAAAAGTTGGGTTCTTATTTCTTGGTTAGGCAAGTGTGTAGTTATTCACTCCTTTTATGATTTGAATTTTTTAATGTAATGTAAATAAGAAATTATTAAATAGTTTAAGGTTATTTTTATAGGACAATAATATTTCATAGGTTAACATAAAACCAAGCTGCTAAATTTTACAGTTTTTCTGTCCAGCAGTTTATCTATATAACTGCCCTGAGTAGATGCTAAATGCTGCTTAGCAAATGGCCCTTAGAATTTAAATATAACTCAGTAAAGCTACTCAAAAGATAAAACAATTCTTCTTAGGCATGTGTAATTTTAATTAGAAGAAGGTAGGAGTCTCTCATTGGTTAAATATTATCTGCTTATTTAACTTTAATACTTTACATAAATGGGGCTATTAAGGAGTTTTTACTGTGCTTGTTACTATGCATTGGAGTCCATATGATTTTTTTTTTTTTTTGGTCAAAAAGGCAGGACTTTAAAGAGTAAAATATTGTATTGGAGACTTGAAATATTAACTTTTAGAAAAGTGTAGATTATTCTCTTGTGAAACTGAGTTCTGTTTAATACCTCAGAATCTCAGTTTATGTAAAGAAGCCTGTATTTCAAATCTGTTGCTCTAATTTGTTTATTGTAGTACATTTCAAAATTGTACAAATGTGAAAAATTTGTGCTTGTGGAAGCTGCCGCTCTGAGTAGCTTTATGTCCCTTAATTTAATCCTAGCAATCCTCAAGCTATTGCATGCCCCGTTCATGAAAGGATACTTCGTTGGGATGATGTAGCATAAACAGTTTGGCTCTAAAGCCTCCTTATGTATCACTTCCCTTAAAATTATATTAATTTATAATATATATTGAATGATAGCTTTACAAAAACAAATTAATGAATTGATCTTTATGAAAAGGATTCTTTACAGTAAGTAAAAAAGGGTTATCACAGTTTTGGTAACTTGCATGAGTTCATATTGAAAAAAAACCTTTCACATGTTCTTAACGACTTTAAAACTGACGTGCTCTAAGGGGCACGCTCAGTTGTATGCTCTGAAGCAGTAGACACCATACAGCTTATATTTTTTATCTGGGAAACCCACGAAGCGCACCGCAGCCTCAGTAGGACTGCAGCGCTTTCTTGGCCTAGAAATAGGGTAGCGGACACTGCCATCCGCCAACCAGCCCGCATCGCAGCGGTCATATCCCAGAAGTTTCCAGGCAGCAAATATCTGGCCCACTTTCGCAATCTGAGCACCATCATCGAGACAAGCTTGCACCGCTTCATCATAAGTCAGCTTGGTATGGTGGATCAGGTAGTAAAAACGGCCTGCAGAGAGAAGGAGAGAGTCAATGAGACTGCCTGCCAATGAGACACACAGGGATAGAAGGAGCTCAAAATGGAAATGTTTCTCAATGAAGTGGGATATAGAACAATGTCTGTAAAGCTTTTGGAACATAGGATCCTGAATTAAATGTAGTGCTCTGGGTCACTTTTCATTAAATTAGTTTTTTTCTTTTCCCCTTAATACATGTTCAGACGTGCCCTTTTATAGCTTTAAAAAAGAAAAGAGAAATGACAGATGCAGTTTCTGTTAGCTAATTAGTGACTAAAAGGGCCCTTCTATGGCACCAGAGAAGACAGAATTCCATGTTAAAAGCAAGAGCTATTTAAATTCTAGCTGTAGCAAGACTGAACCCCAGTACAAGTTTCTGGAGAGGCAAAATTTGAATGTGAAAAGATCAAAAAACATTCCTGACATAAAAAGTCCATTTAAAAAATATCAAAAGCCCTCAAGTCCTTTTCATTACAGGTATCAATAAGACATTATTCTTATTCAAAGACTACAGTATGAAAATGCAAAAAATACAGGAAGTCACTTGCCATAAATAATACGGGCTCAGAATGTGAACCTAGTCTGTTCACTCACTAGCAGAGAAGATGAATTTATTTATTTTTTCCAACTTTCCTCTGTGAGAGCCCTGATATCTAACAGGTTTTGTTTTTTTTTTAATTTCACAAGAAAGCAAGTTAGTCTGAATCACTTCTTAAACAGTGTTAATTACCGAGATTCCTTCGATATATATTATATATGCATAAAATGTATAAAATATGACATCAGCTGACTGAAGTGGTACACACCACCTGAAGACTTTCTCAGACTTTAAATTTCTGGTAGAATATAATCGCTCTCTTATCTGATTACACATTGTGATGTGATATCTCCCTGTGCCTCATTTACTATAGATTATCCAAGTACAAATTAATGTTTGCCAGTTCTTTCTAGACTAAGATGATGTGATTTAGAGAAAGGGTAGAAGCCATCGAAGCATTAGCTAGAGGGTGAATTCTATCGTGTATACCAGGGGTAGGCAAACTACATACAGCACATCAGTCAAAGTTTTATTAGAACATAGCCACACCCATCCATTTAATAACTTCTATGGCTGCTTTTGTGTTACTACCTACAAAGCTACATTGATTTAGTAGTTGCAAACAAGACAATATGGCCCACAAAGCCAAAAATATTTATATAGCTCTTTACAGAAAGTTTGTTGATCCTTGATCCCTTGCTATTTTTCCCAAAGCATGTCACCAGGGAACTAAAATATAAAATGATGGGGCCAGGGTTTGTTTCATGGATGTGTGACCTGCGCAGTTACACAGAGCCCCATAATTGGTTTAATGGCCTGTTATTACCATCTTAAAATTCTCAATAATTTGTGAACAAGGAGCCTACATTTTCATTTCGCTTGGGCCCACAAATTATGTGGCTAGTTCTCGATGGAGGAAGGTAGAGTGGGGAGTCATGTTGAATACAACGAATCAGTCATCGACAAACCCCAGACAATATCACAGTTTAAACTATGTCATAATAACAATTGAATGCAATAACACCTAGCAATAGTGGAAATAAGCACCTTTGCTTGACTTTTGTGGATTTAAAAAAAAATATGACATTAAAGAACTTTTGCATCTTTTCAAACTGAAGCTACTCCTTAAATCTTTTTTCCTTTTCCTTTCCTTCCCTTCCCCACCTCTCCCCTCCTCTTGTAGATGAGATTAAGTGATTAATTTTAAGATTAAGTCAAGTGAAGTGTCCTCGTAGGTATTGGTCTCTGATATAGGGCAGTACAGTTAATATCCTACCATTGAAGTTGGATGTAAAACAGAACACATCATATCTGCTTTTAGCTTTATCCCAAAACCCGTAGTTCCTGACACCGGGCACTGTGTTCTGGCCTCCGCAGGGCTCTCTCGGCTTGGTGATGGGGTATTGCACAGAGCCATCGCTGAGCCAGCCAGCGTTGCACCAGTCCAATCCACCTCGCCAGGCATCATACAGCTGGTCAAAGGAGGCAACCACAGCATCTTGTTCCAGACAAGCCTGCTGTGCCTCGTGAAAGTTGAGATTGTAGCGCCCCAGTCGTGGAAAGTAAGGGAATACCACACCTGTCCAAGGGAGAAAGCACAGGATCATCAGTGGCACAAAAAGGAACTATGAGCGAATCCCATTTGACTGGTGAAAAAACATAATAGAATCTCCATCATATGAAGTAGTAGTTTTTGATCAACTTGCAATTGTTTCTCATAGTCCCTTTCCCCTTCAAACAGCCTCTGGCTCTGAGCATCTCAAAATTAGATATGTGGTTTGATAATTTCAGTGGTTTACCTCTTTTGCTAAGAGTTCAACTCAGGCCTTAAAATTTCTCCTTTCTGCAGATTATATTTTCCAAATAACCCTCCATCTGCCACTGGTTATTAACCCTAAAACGGATTCCTACTAAGCCCCTTTCAAATGGAAAAAAGTCATTATCGAATATTAATAGTGGTAAAGGATGTAGAAATAGTGCTGAGAGAAAAGGTGTTGATCAAAATTCGCAGTATTTTTTTCTTAGTATTAGTCTTATATAATTAGTAATTAGTTTTATATAGTCTTTTAAATGTATAAAAACATGTTAAATTATTCAAATGTAGATATATATACCTCCTTTTACATGTACTGCTAAAAACTTGGAGATAAATAACTTTCACTCAGGAGGCTTCTGATTTGGAGAAACCCAAAAGTGAATTCTTTTGCATATCTAACAAAAACTGAATTAAGCAGTCTTATTTCATATTAATAAGATAATCCTTTACAGTGAGGCACATTGGGGCTCTCACGTTTAAATTTTTACTGTAGCCCCTAATCTTTTTTTCTTTTCTGTTGTTGAACAGTACAACTAAAATAAGGGCTTTTATTTAAAAATATTTCCATTACTATTTTTCAGCTTTTCTATTTCTATATTACAAATCAAAACTAAGCTTTAAAAAAATTTTTATTACAAATAGAAAAAAAAATTCCCAAGCTTGTCCTCTACAAGGTATGTACATAATAAACACCTGTTGATTAAGTTAATGCTGAAGAATTAAATATTTTAAAGAGCAAACGTAAACTGTGTGACTTGGTGCTTGACTTTGCCCAGGGAGATGAATGGTTTTCCAAAAGCATCCTCGTCAGTCAAATAATCATGGGAAGTGATTGAGTTGTCTCACAACTCTCTGTACAATTTCTCTAAAGGTTAAGGATTACATAAGAAAGCAAAGGTGTACCACTTGCCAGACTTTAAGAAGGACCACTCTATCAGAATGTCCCTCCTAGTTGCTAAAAGACAATTTATTTAGAGTGATTATTGCCTTGGAGTTTTTAAATATAATTAGAATTAATACTTTAGCATGTGCAATATAAAAAATTGTCCCACTGACACAGTAATTTGGTGAATTATAGCACATGTGCTATTTTTATGAGACTGCAGACCCTCTTTTAAGATGAATGTACAATTCACTAATGGTATAACCAGCACACAGGAAATGTTTTCTTTTATAAGTTGTCCTGGAAGACTCTACAAAAAGAAATTTCAATAGCCTAAATCAAGTCGTGGTCCACTGAAGGCCTCTGCAGTACACGTTGGTCCTTCTAGGGCAGTCCAGCTGGCACTGTCCACCACCACAGGCAGAGATCCAGGAAGGCTTCCTAATCTCATCCTGCTTTCTCAGGTTCTTGGCTGACGGATCTGTAAGCTGAATCAGAGCCAAAAGGAAGGAAGAAAAGACTCTCTGCGTTGCCACTGTCCCCTGCAGTGATGATAGCAAGGAAGGCTGGAGATGGCTCTATCTAAAAACCGCCCAGGCACCCAGCTAAGAACTCAGCCCGTGCTGGGAAGGAACTGCTACCATTCACCCTCTTCCCTTGTGTCTTCATCCTCTTTACTCAGCAACCCCAAGAATGTTGCTGAAAAGGATAATATTTAATTTATCCTGTAGAGATTTCCTTGGCAGCTAGACCTCAAGAATCTCAATGTGGAGAGAGAAAGAAACCATTTGGGTTGAATTCCATTTCCCAAATGACTCAAGAGAGTAACAGTGGAGGATATAAAATATTTTAATTTATAATCATTTTAAAGGCCAAGACAATTTTTCAGGTTTAAATTCACTCAAGTATAGCTGATGGACTCTCATGGGCATTAGAAAAATGTTTTCTTTAGTAATTTGCCCTTGATTAACTATTGAATGCTACTGAAATATGATTGATTCGGTTTCAAATTTAGTGTTATATATATTTTTATTTGAGTTCCTTTCAAATTTAACATAATTTCATGCAACCATTTCGTAAAGTCAAAGTGAAATCTTATATTAAAATAATTTCTCAATTATAAGAATAGTCAACTTATTGTTATATTAACTTGAAGATTTACATAAATTTTAATTAATGTTTGATGATGCCAGAAAGAACATATTCCAAGTACGTTAAGGTCAATTTTTATGTCTCAGCCAAAGTTTTAAAAGCTTCATTGTATTGTGCACATTTAGTGCGCACATTTCAACAATCAGATGTTTCTAACAAGTAGGGGCATTTCTGGAACTATATGTTTGTTAGTCTTTTATTTATTTACTTATTTTCTTCCAGCTAGTTAAGATTTCAACATCTAAGAGCATTATTACAGAAACTTTCTTGGCTCTGGAAAAATGTACAATTCCTACAGCTGAATTATGAAGCAATTGTGATTGCTTTCATCTAGCATTACAAAAATAAGAAAAGTTAAACTTTCATGGGTGAGAAAGAAGGTTATATAGTTATTTTCCAAGTATAATTATTTTATACTTATATGTCAAGATATTATTAAAAGATCTTTACTTTTCTATGAAGTTCCTAAGCCAAATGCTGTAGTGGTATGCATCACTACAAAGGGGATTAAAAAGAGTGATACAGCACATGGAAAAGAATAATACCAAATAATGTATACTTGGTCAGTCAAAATGTGTTTTGAAAACACATTCTTTAAGATTTATAATTGCATAGGGTAATTATCCTACTTGGCAAATATCAGTTTGTTAGACATATGAAAGGTTTTCGGACCATGGTACATACAAAAACTAAATTTCAATAACTCCACAAAGTAAATATTTTTAGTAATAAAAAGGCAGAGACCATGTAGCATAATTTTACCTTCCTCAGTGCCTCTCCTGGTGTCTAGCAGTGCTATGCACATATCTGAAATATTTTTCTATTTCTAAAAGTTCTCAGACTATCTTTTTATGTATTTGGCCTCATTTTAACTAGTGTTCATGGATATTAATTTGACTCAATAAAAACTGAAAGAACAGGTGGCATGCAATCAGGAGCCAAGAACTATAACTAAAAGAGATGAAAAGATGACAAAAATGCACTTTATGATATCCTGTAATTTATTAGATACATAAAGCTAATAAATTTCCATACAGGTGATGGGATTCTATGAGATTCAGAAGGTCAAACATTCAGTGATGTGCTAGTGGACCAAACACATATTTTCCAAAGGCACAAGTCTGTTCTAGGATGGGAAAGGAGCTTCTAGAAAACACGCACCTATATTTATATGCATAAGGAAGAAAAGTGTTCTATTGATGCAGCCAAAATTCATCGTTCAATTAAAGAAAGACTGAAATTCATGAATGTAAGATGCTTTCAGATACATGAGAAACTACGGAGAGGAGTTTTCCTACTGGCGGGGCACATTGAGAGAGGGTGGGCTTTGGGCAGAGGATGGCAAAGACACATTTTATTGTTTAGTTTTCCACATATTTTGGTTTTTGAATCTACTGAATGTATTACATATATAATAAATACATTTTCCCTCAAAATGCTTTGACCATTTGGTATTCAATGTCTGAGAGACTATAGAACATTAAAAATAATTATTTCTTTACAAGACTATTTAAATAAACCTGGAGGTTACTTTTGTTAAATTAAGTTTTCACAGTTACTTTATGGGATACAATTATATATATTTTAGTTAGCAGATGTCCTTCACAAAACTTGCCATTATTTTGAAACTAGGATAATTTTAGAAGTATAACAACAACAACAACAACAACTATGCAATGTGAATTTCTCAATAGCCATGCAATGAGATTTAAATTTTACAAGGCAGTTTCTGAATATTATTAATTCAGTTCTATTGCACTTTTCTCCTACTTGCAAATAGCTTCAATTTTGTATTATAACCATTGTGTGTACATTTCAAATATGAAAGCAGGAATCATAGGCAGGCTAGAAAATACAAAAGAATAGAAAAACGTGCTATACATGGACTTTTGGTTTCTTACATCATCACTATGGTAATCACTAGACATTACTTGTCATAAAAAAAAGAGCAATGATTATCATTTCTAATTTTGACATGATTTATAGACACTTACCTTGTAAATCTAATGCTACCACAGTAGTATCATCTTCTAATCCTTCAATCACCTCACACTTATATCTTCCATAATCCTCCAGGGTGAGGTCTGTGATCACCAAAGAAGCATCGTTTTCACTTTCTCCGTTCAGAAACACTCTACCTTGGTAGCTTCCATAGCTTTTCTTTTGATATCCCATAGAAACAAAAACGTCCACTTCTTTGAGGTAATCTGAAGTTAGCTTGGTCCACTTAATTCGGATTTTGTGGGTTCCTGAGCCAAATGCTGTAGGGTCTCGATAAAATTTACATGGCAGTGTAACATTGCCACCTCTATGTGAGAACACCTTGTCTTGTTCTGCTTCCACGAGTAGATGGGGGCCATTTTCTTCTGTAATAATAACAATAATAATAAAGAACTATTAATATGCTTCTAGACTTTTTTTATAAAATGAATTATGCTACCTATACAGGCCATTTCACAAACAGTAGCATTGGGTGATAAGCTTCCCTGCATTGTTGGACATTAATCTCTTTTGAACCACAAAGAAAGGTATCTCCAGACCTTAGAGGCCATTTATAAGTAGCCATGTCTTTTAAACTACTGAAAAAAGGAAGGATGTGAATTATAATAATTAAGAAATATTAGACATAAGACTCCACAGTCATCTGAAGTTTGATAATTTCATAATAAATTACATATTTTTTACATTTAAATATCAAAAACATAAACAAGACCAAGAGTAATAACAGAGAACCATGACTATTTCATCAATATAAACCAAAAAATTTCAAAGTGGGAGAGTTTTTCTCTTCCTAAGTGAGCTCTCTCAGATATAAATCTGTATTATATTTACCAGAAAGCATAAAACAACATAATTAACTTTCATTATACTGTTCTGGCCAAAGAACTTAGAAATAGTCTCACATTTATGACCTCTATTCCAATATACACCTATGATTAAAATGTCATTCTGGAGCATTTTAATCAACGTGCATTTTATTTTCACACAAAGGCTATAGACATCAGGCATTTTTAGCAAATGCTTTAAAAAATTCCAGATTTTGAAATATATTCCTCAAAACTTGAATGTTCAAAGTATATTCAAAGTTATATTTATTTTCTGATTAATCAATTTATTATTTCTTCCCTTAAATCTCCTTCTACTCCCTCTCTCTTTGCTTCCTACTATGTCTTATTTTACAGTTATCCTATCACTTCCACCTTTCTTTTCCTTGTCCTTCTAGTTTTCTCCTCCCTCTGGCAAGGTCTTTATAGCCTTCCAGAGAGCACCGCAGTATTCCAAGCTTGCCAACTCAGCAGGGCTGCTGTTCTCTAGAGAGATAGCTGTTATTTTCAGATCTTGGCTTAATCTGGGGTTTCCCCTGGTTAGCTCATTGTGCTTTTGACCTTGACAAGGTCTCTTGAGGATATGCAAGATTTGAAAATGAGAAAATGATATAAGAACGACTGGACACAAACACCTTCTCTCCCATACATAGCTTTCAAAGGCTGCCGAAGCTGCCTGTTATGCAGCCCTTCCTGCCTCAAGCTGGTAGGTACTGAATAAACCTTGGACATGAATTATTTAAGATACACAAGTCACCAAGAAGAGTAGCCACTCACCTCTAGACAGATCTGAAAACTTAGTTATTTAATGGCATACATAGAATTCAGATTTTAAAATAAAAAGTGTCCAAAAATAGATACCGTGTTTCTATTTTTATCCTACAACAATCAGAATTATGTAATATTCAAAAATAAACATAATTTTATGTATGTCAGCCCCAATCCTTAGAAACTGAGCAGTTTAACAAAGCCATCAATGCCCCTACTTTGAATAGATAAAAAAAAAAATGAGAAGATATTGGCTTAATTAAAACAAATCACAAATCCATCTCATTAAGCATTTTCTTTAGATTCTATTTTTTTATCTTATTTAGGACCATAGAATTGTAAGAGATGAAAGGTAAATCTATCCAACTCCATCCTACATAGTTTTCCCCCTATAATATCCCCAATGACTGCATTCGAGTTCTACCTACATATCTCTAGTGTTTTCTTTCTGACAAGAGGGAGAAGTGCTGTTGACTAAGTATGCTCAGTTATGCCTGAGGGCCATAGAGAACATCTCCTATCCAGACCCTCGGGAGGAGACTTGGGAGCTGGCCTTCCCATGCTGGAGGACTTGAGTTTAGACATGACACAGAGCTACAGGATGTTGCAGCTTCATGATTCTTTTAAGCTTTTTGAAGTCAAAATCAATGCCCAAATGCACTGGGATAAGGGGTATTGCAGTAGTTAGGAGGTCTTTAATATGATGGAGACCTTGTTCTAACCTCATCTATTTAATTTACTGACTCTGTAGCCTTGTAAGTTGTATAATTTCTAAGTCCCAATTTCCTTATATGCGAATTAGGGGTAGTAACATCTACTATATATAGTTGACCTAATAGACACATGAAGCACTTAAAATAATGTCCATTCACTGTTGTAAAATAATGTCCATTCAAAGTAAGTGTCCACTCACTGTTGATTGTTCCTATTGTCTAGATTTTTTACAGTATTTCTCTAGTATGATCCTGCCTAATACTGAGCATAATTTTGGCATACAGTAAACTTCCATAGTTTCACTTACATATAAAGTTTTGAATCATGTGGAGTGAAAAAATATATAAAATGCCACCTGTGTTATATAGATAACCTGGAAATTATCATGTGGTTTAGCTTAATCATCAGGTGTTCCAGAATGAATACAAGGTCTGAGTGTTTTATAAATTAAAGAGTTAAAGCAAAGATTAAAACTCTTGTACAAAGGACTGAGACTTCTAATTTTTTTCTGTAGTTAACTGTAAATCATGTTGTAGTATTTTAGAAGTATAAGCTTCTGCTTTTTTTAGGTACTATTTACTTTAACTCCAGCATTGTGAATAGATGACGACTTATGTGGTATAATATTGAGAACTGAGCAGATGCAAAAAATCCACTGACTTCCCCAAATAATTTTCTAATAAGCCTGTCAGAATGTATACACTTCTACCATTCTTATTTTTCTGTGGGGGTAGGGGGCACTGGGGTGTTGAGTCAATAGATGACAGAAGTCCCTGGCTGAAATTCAAAGAACCCTAAGAAAGATGTGCAACACGTAACACATTGAGTGACTGAGGGCCATTAATGTTTTTTAACCAAAACCACCAACATGGCCTTGAAAACAATGTATGCTGGTAGTTGCTTGTTTTTAGAAGATTGACACTGCAGATTATAGAGCATTGAGCATTGATGGTGGGAGTGGCCTGTTGCAGAACAAGAAAGACGCAGGAAGGAACACTGGCCAGTGAGTCAAGAGTTCTGGGTTCCATGGCAAGCTCTACTGGGGCTTAGCTCTTTGAGTGATAGGTCTATGTCATGAGAACATTTTAATTTAACATTCTTATCAGGCTCACTATGGCAGGCTGTCGCGATAGGGATCAACCAGGAAACACATTAAGGTGAAGAGGGGAGAGGGCAAGCACAAAGAACAGAAGAGAAATAAGAGTACTGAGGACAAATTTTGCATTGTCTTGCCTAGATTAAGTGTTGAATCCGATCAGTGGTTACAAAAACCTGGACTGATTCGAAATTAATGTTTAAATCAAAACTGTTTGATCAACAGGCAAATAAAATGCAAAAAGAAGAAAAAAAAACTTGATCATCACATGAGTATTGCTTGTTTTCCTTTTTATTTTTTGAAAAATATATAAAACTAAGCATTGTACATGTGCTCATTTTGGATGGTTTGAATTTTTTAGAAGTTCAGTTTGTAAGTTACAGAAATTTCATATTTCTACTAGTGAGTGCCAATGACAGTGACTTGAAAGGTTAGATGCCCTTCAGAGACCACAGTTGTCTCCAGGGGAAACAGCAGGGCCCTGTTATTATTTTACAAATTCTGCTGTAAAATCCAGGACATTATTCAATTTTACCAAATTATAAAAAGCACTGGCATGACCAAAAAACTGATCTTTGCATTGCTATGTAATTCAGCCAAAGCCTTTTAAACAATAGGGCAAAAACAATTAGTTGCAGAAAATAATTTAGAAATATGGTATTAGATTATGACCTATTATTCTTAGTTTTATTAAAAATATAATCTTTTATTTTCTGGAGGAGGGCGTTCCTTGCCAGAAAAATAGAGGTGACAGGAAAAAAGAGAAGGTGTTATGGATCAAAGTTTGTCTTTTAAAACTAAATCATGTATTGTACAAAATAATCAGTTTTGGTTACTTTCTCACTAATGTATAGACAAAGTAGCCTACAGAATTTTGGACTTCCTAGGTCAGTAAAATGTAAAAACAAAAACAAAAAACTGAGGAATATATTTAATATGACTAAATAAGGTGTTAATCAAGGACCTTAAAAATACTCTCCTCCTAAGAAAAATCTCTAGCACCATTGTTTGAATATTTTATTATTGTAGTAAAATATATATAACATACAATTTGTCATTTTAACCATTTCTAAATGTACAACTCAGTGGCATTAATTATTTTCACAATGTTGTGCAACCACTATCACTATGTATTTTCAAAATTTTTCATTGCTCCAACAGAAAGCTAGTTCCTCCCTGACACTCCAAATTGTTAGGCAGAGACTCAATTATCAGCTCTATGATGAGTCATTTGAAAAAATTGCACAGGTTTTAAAAATAGTTTCTTATTTTTGTGACATCTGTTATCACTTTGGTGGGTATGGATGAGTAAGGCTAACACTTTGGAAGCTGTCACTTTCCTTAGGGTAACCAAACCTGCTGGAGGGTGAGTAACCAGGATGGATTTGTGTGTTGTGTGTGTGTGTGTGTGTGTGTGTGTGTGTGTGTGTGTGTTGTTTTGCTGTGCTTCCCATAGTCTACTGAAAACACTCATTCTGTGTCCCTCCTCCATGTCTGTTCATGTTGCTCCTCCAATATCGACATAGTGTCTGGCATATGATAAATGTCTGTGACTGAAATGATCTAGTGCTATCTAGAGCCTGTGCTAGCTATGGCAGCAGACATGAATACCTATATTTGCTTTATACAATTACATAGCTCTAAAGTGAAAACACTTTATTTTTTTTTAAATGAAATATACATATAAAGACAATATTTAAGCAGAATACATAATTTAGATATTGGTCTCTCATTGTCCTTTACACAGTTCATTTGAGTGGGATAAGTAATTTAGAAAACAAATATGGAATATCTTACTCATTAACCTTTAACTGTTTTTAATTATTTTGTTTTCCTCAGACTGGAATGAATCTAATTTTTTTCTGAAGTTGCTCACCTGGAGTCAGAAGCTCCTATTGTTTCGTCATGATTCTGATGTGTTTGGTCAGCTTCGCATCAAAAACTTTTACAAAGGTCCTCTTCA